CAAATACCACAGACTCCAAAGTCCACTTGTAACAAGGTTTCTAAGGATTCTAAACGATTCGTTCTCAAGTAAGGGTCACCATTTCCTCGCTTGTAAAAAGATGTAACGTTAAGAGGGCCATATGAGTTAATTACTTGAAGACTAAATTGGGCCCTTCATGCCTGCTGAATTTGGAGAGACATGCTCTAAAAATCCCTTATCAACCTAAAAATCACAGGTCATAAAGGAAACGATTAATCTCGCTTTAGGGCTGGCTGGTTAGCTCGGTTGGTTAGCGTGTGGTGCCGACACCACCAACGTCTTCTGTACCGGCCAACGCCAAAAACAAAAACAACACAAACAAAAAACAAAAAAACCCACCTAGCTTTAGTTTAATCCCAAACACGACATTCCTCCTTACGCCCTCTTAAACCGTCTTTCTAAAATGACCAGGAAAGGGTGGGCTGCGCGGTCAGAGTCCCCGGCGGCGAGTCGCCTCAAGAGGCGGATCTTAACTGCCCAGAACGGAAGTTCCTGAGCCTTCAAACCCGAGGGGAAGCAACTGGGCAACGGACCAAGATGGCGGCGCCCAATGAGGGGCAGACGTTTGCTACGGGGGTTGAAAAAACTTGGGGTGCAGTCGTTCGCTCCCCAGAAGGAACCCCCCAGAAAATTCGGCAGCTGATAGATGAGGGGATTGCCCCGGAAGAGGGAGGCGCGAACGCGTGAGTTCGCGAGTCAGCCCTGGGTCCAGCGCTGGAAGATTGGAGAGGGTTTGAGGAACACAGTCCTGGAGCGGGGGTTGGGGTGGGGGTGTCCTCGGTCGGCGACTCGGGCGTGGGGATGGCTTCTTCTCAGGATCCGAAAGAGACTAGGGTTACTGTGCTTGGTCGGCTTCGAGCTTTTCGGGATGTACTGAATCCCGCATCACGGGCGAAGTTTTGCCGTTAAGACAGTATTTGGGGAAGGTAAAAAGAGGACCGCAGACTGAGTGAGAGCGCCTGACTTCTCTTAGTTGAGGTGCTTAACTTTTTTTGTGCCATGGACCCCTTTTTTTGTGCCAAAGCTTACAAACCCCCCTTTCAGCGTAATATTTTTAAATGAATAAAATAAATGGCATAGGCATATAAAGAAAACCAGTTACATTGGAATGTAGTTATCAAGATAGTAAAAGAAAAATGTTGCTAAATAACGTGCTTACATGCTTTTTAATTAAAGAGTTAAATAACGTCTAGTAGTGTGTTTAT